ATATATATATAAATCACACCTATTATTATTTTTATTTTTTTTACATATACAGAAGTACAGTATATGTATATTTGTTTAGGCAAAGGGCTAAACCATAGAGTTGAAACTTTAAAAAGATTTCACAGGAAAAGGACCTTGGGTTAGTATCTGTGTTGGCTCTAAAGCCATTTTCTTGTATGCTGTTGAACAACAATCAATGTTTGGTCTAATTCCAGTATGCCTTATCGAAAAGAAGACGACTTGCATTCCTGTAAGACCAACGACCTCATCATTCTTATTTAGGAAGATTTTCTTTTCTTTTGGCAAGTTTCCATATAGGTAGCACTTGATAAAAAATGAATGTGTCGTGGATTTAATGTTGCAGTCTAGGCATATTCAAGGCTTCCTTGTAATTGCTGCAAGCTCAATCCATATTTTCAGGCTGCGCACTCTCCTCCTTCCAAAGACCCCTCCTTCCCCTTTATGTGTTATCACTAATGGCATTCCTAGTTTTTATTTTTTTTTTAAATATTATGTTCTACTTATTACTTGTTTGTGTAATAAGGGTACTGATCCTGTGTTTTCTTATTGGATGCAGGCGTACTTTGGCCAAGAATTTTCCGCCCAGCTACTCCAATTTTTAATTTCAAGGTTGTTAGGCAGGAGGCAGCAAACAGAGCCACCCACTGAGTGAAGTCTTTAATTGTATGGCAAGTTTTAGGACTTAGTGACACTAAACTCAGGAGGTAAATCTTAAAGATACCAGTCAAGTACCTTTTTAACTATCAACAACACTGTATCTTATTTGTGTATCACTCAGCTGTAGATCCTCAGATCATCTCTGAATTGGTGCTGACCCTGGCCTTCCTTCTGGAGGGTGGCTACTTTTGTTTCCCACGGACCCCTTTTGTGATGGACTACAATCTCAATACAAATGAGTAAACTAATCGTGAAATTGTAGTCCATCACAGGAGCGAGCTTGGAGCGGTGGCTACTTTACAACACACACAGGGACCATGGGGAAGAAAAGTAGCCACCCACCAGAAGGAAGGACAGTGCCGGCACCAATTCAGAGATGATTTGAGGATCTACAGCCGAGTGATGCACAAATAGGATATATTTTTGTTAATAAGTTACTTGAATACATTTTTAAGATTTATCTCCTGAGTTTAGTGTCACTTTTAGGCACTTTGTTTTTTTTCTTTGGATAGTGAGCAGTTCTTTTTACCAAAGCACCACCCCCTCTCAAACTAAGCCTCACTCACATAAACCTAACCCTATGTTTTCATACTTTAATTTCTTGTGCTGAGGACTAACCTTTCCCAATACAAATCCGCCTTCCAATACAACCAGCTGTGCCATCAACCACCACCACCCCCTATATTTTTCTCCATCTTTTTGTAGCCTGTCCGGTAAAAATTTATAGAAGGGAATTTATCGAAACTGGAGTAGTTTCCCATGATAAACTTTGAAAATGAAAGAGGAGCTGATTGGTTAACTGAACAAACTGAGAGAAACTGGTTACTTTGGGCAACTGCTCCCAGTTTCTGCCTGCTCCAGTGTTGATAAATTAACTTTTATAGTGTCAAGCAGCCTTTGCTTTCACGTTAATATCCGATAGATTTGAATGGGACATGTCTGTACTGTGGTAGCAACATCCCGTTCAAGGCCATGAAACATTAGTTTGAAGGGCTCCGACATCTTGGCACTAGATCCTTAGACCGTCCGGGAGGTGGGGTGTGTAACACAGCTAGTTGTATTGAGGTGGCTAGGGACGGGGGAATGAGGGCAACTTGTGTCCTTAGCCTGTACTTTAATAGACATGCAATTCCAGCTGAATAAAACCATGTAAATCTTACTTGGCATAATAAGCACAGTTACTGTGTTAGCTGGTTGTTTTGGTCTTAGCTGGGCTTGCCAGGATTTTGTGTGCTTGTATTGACATTCTGGACGGGAATGCATAGAATCAGAGATGTCTCCTGAAAGAGCAATAAACAATTCTCGGCTACTTTTTTTTTTTCTTTCACTGCCCGGCTTCCACCCTTTGCAGGGAATGGAATTTTTAACATCAACAGCAAGCAGCTGAGTCCCACCTATCAGAAGTGACGTATTTTCTACTCCACAGCCTTAGTTGGAATCTGTGCTGAGGAATGTGGGCAGCGCTGTAATGTATCCTAGTATGAGTCACAGTGTCAGTCTGACACTGGAATAGCCCAGAGTACAGTGTGGAACACTTGTTCCCTGCTTGGATGAGCTCTGTATTGCTTCTTACTGCGGATTTGTAAAAATGATGGAAGTTCAGTCCAGGTTACACCCTGATATTCCAGAGAATGGGGAGCTGCCTCCTATCGAAGTCAATGGCAACTGTGTCCCTCAGGAGAGTGGGGGAGAGGATGAAAAACCTGTCTCCAATCTGCAGAGGAGGCGCAGTGATGTCAAAGTATACAAAGAAATTTGTGACTTCTATGCCCGATTGTAAGTGGAGGTTTTTTTGTTGTTGTTGTTGTATATCTGGATCGCTAACTGGAAAAATTGTATTCAGCTACTATAATGTGTTCTGTTGGATATTGGCACAAGTGGCACGTGATGCTTTTGGGTCTAAGGGTTTTCCGACAATAATAATAATAATAATAATAATAATA